CCCCCCCCTCCGTCTCTCTCCCCCCTCACCCCTGTCAGTCTCGAGACGTGTCGATGGCGCGGCTTCATCCGTGTTAAGGGTGAGAGGGGACCGTGGCGGGACGGGACGGTCAGCTCTGTGAGAGGGAAAATTGCGATGACAAGTGCGATTTCCATGAGGGGAGCCCCAGCCCTATGGAGAGAGAGTCATCCGGCGGCATCGCTCCGGCGGCGCCCGTGACACTGTGCGAGGAGCGCGCGCCGGCGGCGTTTCCAACCGCGCCACTCGTGTCGAGTCCATACGGGGGCCGCGCAGGTTGGAGCAGGAGGAGGAGGAGGAGAGGGTGTTTGTGCCCCGAGCTCGCCGCCATGCCGCGCAGGGGAGGCTGACGGTGACACCGGCGACACCACACCGGCGCCGGGCAACCCGGTGTCGCGTGGCTCACAGGGATAGGAATCCACTTTACCTTTGCCGGTTTGGCACCCCCGGCCCGGGGGTCGCGTCGTCCTCCACTCCCCCCCCCCCTCCTCTCTGCCCTCCACTCTGCTCCTCCCCTCCTCCCCTCCCCTGTCGCCCGCCGCCGCCGCGTCGCCTGTTGTCGGCCCCGCTGCTCTCCGGTGCACACCGGGTCGAGTGCTTCCCCCGCCGCCGCCCTCACTCACCCCCTTGAACGCCCTCCGTCCTTACGCAACGCGTGCGGGGGCTCGGTGTCTAATTTGTGTGTCGCTCCCCATCTACCTGCCCTCCCCCGCGCCTGGAGAAGAGGCGAGCGCTTTGGCGAGCGAGAAGGCCTGCAATCCGACGACTCGCCTTTGCAAATTAAATGTCCGGAGTTGTTTGGAGGGGGAGGGGAGGTGAAATAAAGAAGCGTGTGGCGTTTCCGTGTCCCGGTGACACGGTGAGCGGTCAGCAGGACGAGGGGGGGGGGGGTGCTTGTAGTAGCGGACGTTCATTCGCTCTGGACGCACGGCCGAGCGGGTATGGGCGGCAGCGCGGCGTGTCCTGGTGCGAGTGTGGGGGTGGCGTGGGCACCGCGGCCACCTCCTGCAGGGGGCAGTGCAGCGCCCGTGTCTTTCTGTGTGTGTGTGTGTTTGGGGCTTCCCTCAATAACGGGGTGGCGACCAACAGCGCATAGCGCTCAGCTCCCGCGCTGAACACTGGCTCGACCGCGCGGGGCAGGGTCTGCCGCTGGGCCACTCCACAGCAGCAGCAGTGGCACAAGCGCAGCCCCATTGCCCGTTTAGCATTGAATGCGAATGGCGTGCTAGACTGGGCCGGTGTTCGCGGAACAGGACGCAGCACGTGCGCTATGTTGATGTGTTCCCCGGTGTCCCCCGCCCGCGGGGCGAGGAGAGGGGGGGGGGCGGCAAATAGCCTTACTTTTTTCCTGTTGGAGGGCACCTTCGAAAAAGGAGCAGGATGTCAGTCGTTGCATTAGCAAACTATCCAGCAACATTGAAAGAGAAATAGAAAGGGAAAGAGACATGGACAGGCGGGCAGATACACTGTGAGAAAAAAACGGAAAATCAACGGACATGAGCGCTATAAATTTATAATAATATTT